AATTCCAATTTCATCTTAACTTACAGAAGTATATGCAGAGTATTGAACCTCACCTCGATTCATCAGTCGGAATCCAATTTCACAAGCTCACTCGATTCTGGACAAAATTGCAGGTGACCCATAGTGGTAGTGGATGCGCCTGGTTGAGAGGAGTGGATTGGTGGTCGTCCACGATCGAAACGGTGGCCGACGGCGATGGAAATACAGCGAAACCTAGACTGTAGCGCGGTTTTGGGTGGTGATTGGGGCTATTTTCTGCAACTCCATGGCTAGGTGATGACAAGAAGTTGAAGAGGGAGGTTAGGGGGATTGAATATTCGAATGGTAGTGGTATCTGGTGGTCTAGGTGGCGGGTGGTGGTCGATTGTTAAGGAAGAAGGCAGGGGTTTTCATGAGTCTCTTACGCACAGTGGAAGAAGAGGAAATGAGGCCGTTTCCCGTGTTTTCTAAAAATGGCCAAAACGACTTTTGGGCTGTTTTCCATTTTGTGTTTTTCAAAAATTCATTTTGGAAAATGGGAAAGAGAACGCATTTTCATCGTTTTGGAAAATTGAAAACAGAAAACGGTTCGAAAACACCAAAGAAAAGGCCCTAAATGTTTGAATTGAACTTAAATTTTATCGATTCCCAAAGTTCAATTTAAAAAAAAAAAAATATATATTGGTTGACTGGGAAGATATAATATAAAGTTTCACTAATGTTTTATTCCGGATGTTCGTTTTTGGATTTTGAAATCATGTTTTATCGATTTATCTTGAAGAATCAGTAGTCACCTTGATTAATTATTTTTAGCCCTACTTTATGTTTCCTCTGCTTCACTGTATTTGCTCTGTATCTTTTTTTTAGCGACATTAATTATAGTTTGCATGTAATCTTGCCGATACTTAAGTTTAATTCTTTTTATCATATTCAAACATGAATACATTTGTTTTTTATATTCCAAAGTCTGAATTGCATGCCATATATTTATATATAAATGTATATACCCATCTGAGAGAGTGAGAGTTATCCTGTTAGGAGCTGGATAAAGTTGTTCGGACAAATTTATTTCTCTGTATAATGGAAATAATACTGGCAGTTAAAGGCGTGATAATATCAGAGCGTGAATTATCAAATTTTAAACACTGTTTATAAAAATTAGTAGGCTGATGTTAGGATGCTGAGGAAATGTTCTACATAAATTTGACCATACGAGGATAATTTTAGAATGCATTTCCAAGAAAGAAGTAAAATATCAGTATATAACTAAAAATAATATGATGTAGAACACATCTTGTTACTGTGTTAGAAATTGACCTTCTAGTTTTAGGATTTATAATAATGTTGGAGAGTGGTGTCCATTACCAAAGAGTTGGATATTGATCATTTAATATCCATGGAAGTGTCCATATAATCTCATTCAACAGGATGATAGGAGACTGCTGATATTGTTAGGTTCTCACGTTGATGCAGAGAAACAATCTACTTCTTTTAGAATGAAGAACTTTTAATTGGAACCTGGAATGCCGTTCTTTGTCCTCCAAGTGTATTAGCTGTTGTGTTACTTGGAGTGGGTTACTTGATTTCTCAGAATATAGTATAGAATGGTGCACCTTACCCATCCTCCCTAGTCCCCCTCCTCAGATAGATGTTTTCTGGTATGTGCCAGTGTTTCTGTGTTCAGACCTACACCTTGAGAGGTGTGTCGTAGGAGGTGTTCACGAGGACCCTCAAAACTTACACTTTGAGTGCCTTTTGGAAAGGCTTATACGTTAATTTTAAAGTGTATGTGGCACCAGGAGCGGAGCCAACACCCCGGTGAGGTGACGCGGCGAAATTTAGGCAAGGAAGGATTAGGAAGATGAGTTTATTGGAATTGGGCCATTTTCTTTTCTTTTCTTTCTTTCTTTCTTTTTTTTTTTTTTTTGTTGTTGAGATTAGACCCATTTGCTTTGTATTGTATTTGTATGACTACTCCATTTCCCCAGCCCCATACCGCCATTACACTTGCAAACCAAACCAAATCTCTGCCAAACCCTATTTCGCTGTCTCCCTCTTGCTGCGCAGCCCGAAGCGGAGCCTTCAGCCTTGTGACCTGCTGCTGCCGAGTCATCGACGCCGAGCCTCCTCCCTGCACCACTGCCAGTCACTGCTGTGTGAGCGCCTGTCTTTCTTTTTTTTAGTTCATTTTTTTATGCCATTTTGGGGAATGATTTATGTTTTATGACTCTGAGCTTGCCACTGAGGTTTATGATTTACGAAAATAGGGGAATTTGTGAATATATGAATATGTGATATCTGAGGATTGTGAACTCATAATTTTGATATCATTTGGGGAATTTGTGATAAATTGGTGTTGAAAATTGATGATAGTTTAAAATGAAGTTTAATTTACGTTTAATTTTCATTTGTGAGTAGTCTAAAAAGGTCAAACCAAATAAAAGAGATGTTTTTGTATAAACTTTGATGGTGCTCAACTTTTGGGTCTGATTTGAAAAACATTCTTACTTTTAAAATAATATTTATTAATTAAAGTAAATAACTTCCTTATATTGTCAAGTTGGATACCTAAAAAAAAATCTCTTTCCTATGCAGTCTCTTTGGTGAAGATTAAACCCCTTGTGTAAATCCTGCTGCTTGTTTATGTGAATAATGTGTGTCCAAACATTGAGAGCTTGCTGCTACAACCATTTCGAATAACCACCCCGTACCAATTTTACCACATTACCATGATCAATTACAAGCTATCAAATTTGTTATGGTGGTTGAAAATTTAACCACCATAATCAATTTGAGGTAGTATCATCTATTTTTTCTTATTATTTTGGGTTGTTTTGGATCATATTTTCATATGTACATGATTTTTCACTTTTTTTTGCATTTATATATTGATTAAAGAATTTTTAATATTATTTAATTAAATATTAACAAACTATCTCGCTACTGTGGCCGTCAACGGTCAACGGTCAATGATCACGGCCTCTCTAGCTCACAACAATCCTGGATGCGTCCCTGTGCAGCACACGTCGAGGTGGTTGAGACATGGACGCCTTATTTCCCATTTTAGTCATTTTTTTCCAAAATGTTTTTAGGATTCCTCCATATTGTTATAAATGCAACTCAACTCTAAAAATTAGAAATAAAAGAATTGAAGGTTAGAGAAAAATAAAAAATAATAAGTTAAGGGAATGTGCTGACCCTTACTCTGTACTCCTACAACTGAATTACTGACTTATGATCACCCTAATGAACTTGCAACTCTTTGATTGCTAGAAACCTCCAACATGTAGCGTTACTTCCACTTTTATTTAGCTTTTTCTTGTGAATATCTCTATGATTATGTTTCCTGTCCTCTGGAATTTCTTTGCTTTCAAGTCAAAACAAACCAAGTTCTCAAATAATTTATCAATTGCGCCATTTGTATTAGACTTTTAGTTCTAGTTGTAGACTAATGGACTCTTGTCATGTGATTACTACTTTATTAATCTTTTATTGGCTACTTTGTTAATCTATTTTATGTTTCTAGCTGCAAGTTAAACTAGTTTTACTGTAACGTAATATTAACAATATAGTTAAATGATCTATTGTTTATTAGGTGTAATTTTTTAGTTTTATAATTATTTGAAATTTTATTGGTTTATGTTGAGCTTTACGCTGTCTCATGTAAAACACCTCAGTACCTGGTTAAGCCTTTTTAAACACTTGTACGTGCAAATTTATGCACCTATGCTTGTATGTATACATGTACGCCTATGTTACTAGTCACAGTGTAATTTTCAGGTTTTTGTAATCCTTAGGTAATTTTTTCGTGCATTGTGCTACAGATGACTTTGCATCTCGGCAATCTTTCATCTCGCATTCGTAAATATCAACTGGAAGTTATACATGGTCAAATAGGCAGCCTCGAGTGTTGCAGCTATATGATAGAGGTGGTAGGTTATACAAGCCACTACGTGGAAGGTACCCTGTCAAAGAAAATGACAACTGAAGGGTTGGGTCATATTGTAAATTCGAACACGATGGATTTCAAGAAAGTAGATGGTGAAGGCAGTAAGTCTGATTCTTCTGACCTAGTTGATGAAGGAAGAAGCTACCATTAACGATTTTAATCGTTATGCAGTGGAGAAAGATGGTGCTGTTTTTGATGATTTTCATGAAGCAGGAGATGGTGGGAAGAACCACTTGGACGATGACAGGTGGGGAAAGCAGGTTATGGATCCATCATATGTAAATGGTTTAGAAAATGGATTGGAGTTTGACTGTTATGAACCTTATTACAGTGATGATGAGAAGGAGCCGAAGGAACTTCAAGATGCATCCCATCTGTGTTGGTCACCCACTAGAAGTAAGTCTCTAGAAAAAAACAGGAATTGGACAAAATGATCATCATGAAACTTCAGATCGTCCCAGCAATCCAGAATCCCGAAAGACTTGCTACTTGTGTGGGAAGGAGGGTCATGAAATGTGGAAGTGCCCCTCACAGCTGAAGAGACCCACAAGGTCTCAACTGCTGTGCCAAAGTAGTGATGCTTCTCCGGAGCCATCCACTTCAGGAAATAATATGAGATTGCTTAGACGTGGAGATTCTCCCCAGCACGACTTACTTCCAGCCGCAGGGAACAAGAGTACAGGGAGAGGAAAAGGAGCCATCCACTTCAGGAAATAATTTGAGATTGCTTAGACGTGGAGATTCTCCCCCAGCACGACTTACTTCCAGACGCAGGGAACAAGAGTACAGGGAGAGGAAATGAAATATGAAGGATTACGGAAGTCCAGAGAGGCATCGTTCGAAAAAAGAAAGGGTTCTGTTTTTTTCTTCAACCCACTCTGATAATACTGCATCCAGAATGTAGTCACCTTCAAGATAATTAAGCTCGTTGTCTGGGTCTGTTTCACATTCCAAGTCCACATTAGTGTTGTCCAGAAAAAGTTATCTGTCAGCTCATTCGTGGTCTTTAACGTCACACCATTCTGGATTAAAAACCTTCAAGTCGAGGGTGACATCAAGGTCAAACTCTCCTACATCTTTGGCTTTGCGGGTAGCACTTGATAGGCATTTATCTTCCTCTCCAAATAGAATGCAAACGGATTACTGGGGAGATGAGGAACTGGTAAAACATGTCTATTCTGAAAATATCACAGTTGCAGTGGAAAATGAATCTGCAGCCGCAACATTGAAAATGGAAGTGGAAGGAAAGAAAGAGGATCTTGCCCATAGGTTTGATGCACACAATATTTCCATCACTAGGGGTTCGTGCAAAGTGTTAAGAGTCCCATAGACCACAGTCAGACAACAAGAATCATAGTTCGGATAATTTGATGTTGCTAAGTGGAAAAGAGACGAGGGGACCTGCAAATGAGGACTGTGTTGGAACATATGCCGGAAAAAGAGCCTGAAATCTCTGTGAGATGAAATGCTGCACATTCAACAAGACTGTCCTCCGACGAAAATTACATGGTTCTAAACCATAATCACCTGGAGCATCTTGAGGAAGATAAAAAGGATCTACCTGCAGAAACTTATTTTGGGTGTGCTCGCGCTTGGCCTTGGGAGATAATGTATTATAGAAGACTGAAGAAGGGCGCAATTTCAGCTGAGAACTATGCTCGGAGAATGGCACAGAATAAGGAGTTCTGTATAGTTGATAATTACATTCGAGGCAGTAGTGGATGGGAAGAATTAGATAAAAACAATCCTTGAGCAGTTTTTCCATTGACTACTACAATATGTCTATGTTTTGCAACAGTTTTGAACCTGTATGATTGTCCCTGTTACTTGCAATATTCTTGAGACGGCCAGGTAATGAAGCCTCGATGAAATACTTGCTATATAATTTTTTATTTATTTATTTTTTCTTTTATATATTTTGCTAATTTTATGATCTCTTAGCCATCCATATCTGGTCAAGAATATACAGACACAATGCTAAAGCCTTCCAACTTTCTTACTGCCTTCAAGTGGCGATGTATTCTCTGGAAACGCATATTCCAGAATAAAAATATAAACATTATTGAATCTGAACATTACATCAGAACTTTGTGAATCTTTTTCTCAAGAGCCAAAATAAGTCGTTTTAGTACACTAGTAGCTGAGTTCCATTTAGAGAAACTTTTGAATTGAGTTTCTGAGAGCCTTTCCTTGTTAACCCAACGCTCTCTAAAACACGTTTCGTTTTGTGAGTCCAATACCTAGTTGACACTACGAAGTGTCATCTTAAACTTTTCACACATTTGAAGCTGTCGACAGAATTATTTATTTCTTGGTAAACTGCTAGGGGGAAAAATATACAAATATGCCCGTCAATGAGTTTTGTTTATTTTTTTGTAATTATAATTGCAACATATATTCCCAAAATATGAAAAAACTACTTCTCAAGCATCTCCAAGAAACTCTTATAAGAAGCATCTTATGCACAATAAAGAGTAAATTTTTTTATACACTTCAACAAGGCTCTTTCTTTTGACTCTTCATTTGTTTTTTTCAAGAAATATTTATTAATTTCTCCTTGTATTTTATTTAACATATTGTTTTATATGTTAATGATCAATGAATTCAAATGAGATTTGAATAACTTAAGAAGTAGAGTATTAAAATATGAATTAAGCTATTTGTACCATTTGATTTACACTTTGATTTACCTTACCTCACCTCCTCCCTCACATGAGGGACCCCACATCCAATAAATGCTTGGGACTTGACCTCATGTGAGGGAGAGGGTGGTAAACCAAAGTGTAAATCAAAGAGTACATGTAGCAAGGTCGTTAAAATATAGGACTTATTAAATGCAACTATTTTAAATTAAGAATAGAGAGTGAATTTGACTATCTAAATTTGGATAGTCAAACTCTTTTTAGAATAGAGTCCATTAGAGCTTATTTTTAAGCATTAATTCTTGGAAGTAAGGAATATTTTGTATTTAGATATTTTCTTGAAGATATTCTTAGTGCGGTAACCATCAAATGACTGTGTCTACTGTGAATGGTCGTTCTCTTATCTCAAACTTAACCTACCAAATACCTTATTAGCAGCTCAGGCTTGAGCCTCATTTTGGGCCCTACACGCTCAGCCACACCATCTCATCCCAGTATTTGTCTTCGGATGTAGAATTCTTTTCACCAATATGATATGGCATTTACATGACCTAATTAGTAATTACGTTATGGCTCCACCCTGACTTCCATTTGCTAATGCTTCCCACTTTTTCATTCTAAATATTTAGTATGTGTACGAAGTTGTTGCTCAAGGTGCCGAAGACTATGAGAATATTTGTTACACCATATTGGATAGTAGAGGACGACGAATGATATTTTAATTTTTTTTTTTTTTATACATTTGACGTTGTTTGATCTGAAGTACCAAAAATGTTATAAATGAACAAAAGGCTATGAATTAAATTTGTATTGAGCACATGACGTTGTAGCCCTAATTGTTTTTGATGAATGAGTTTCACTCATTGTTTAATGTCACTTAAACTTCATATTTTGGTTGTCTTTGAGTAAGTTAGAACGTTTTGATGTGTGTGTTCGTGTTATTTTACGGGTTAGGTAACTTGGTGAAAACGGCAAGTTTGGAGCGTGAAATGAACCAAAATTTATTTGAGTGTCGATGGATGGGAAAAGACTTGGAATTAATCTTGGAGGATGGAAAGGAAAATAATCAAAACAAGGAGAACAAAACAAGTGGCGGAGAGTTGGGCTTGCAGGTGGTGGAGAAGTTGTTGGAGTAGGAGGAGGCTGGGACGCGCAGGCGACGTTGATGCTGGAGGATGAATGGATGTTGTCGGAACATTTTTGTTAACTTCGATAGTTTCGCACAAATAATCATAATTTTCCATGGAAATCAAAGCCGATCAAACACCAAAAGATGAAAAATCTTAACATTTTCTGGATGAAAAATTATACCAATCAAACGCAACTAATTAACAATTCTCTGCAAAATATTTTCTAGGCAATTATTTTCCTTGAAATTCATTTTCTTTCTACCCAAGTGGAGAATTTTACTGTAGCAAATAATTTTTTGAAATAATGGTAGAAAAATAAGGGCTTAATTAACAATTCCTTACAAAACATTTTCTAGACAATTATTTTCTCTGAAATTCATTTTCTTTCTACCCATTTCCACCCTTGCAATCTTACATAATATTTACATTGTGGAAAATGCGTAACAGTTCTCAACTGTCTCAATAACTTCAGCATTTATTTGATTTTAATGATCTTCAATCTAATATTATAGTCAACCTTTTTTGAATGTTCATCCTCTTCACAACTACCGTATACGAGTAATGACCTAATAATATCATCACATGCACGTAAGTCGAGAGGCTAGCATACTTTCATGGTTAATTAATTATAATATTGACATTGAACAACTTGAATAGGTATTAAGTATTAAAGTGTGTTTGTTTTGGATTAAAATCTGATTTTAATCTAAGTAAAAGTCAAAAAATCAATATTAAACACATCTTTTATAGATTCCACAACTTTTCAACCACACATTTTAAAAAATTCTATCACAATCTACTAAAAATTTAATTTCAATCCCTACCAAACACCCTCTTAATGATGCCACTAAAATAAGATGGGTTTTTACGTACAAAAAGAAGCTTCTAATGACGTTTTCGCAAAACTTTTTCGATTGTTTTATACAATTTTGTTCAGTATTGCATACCAAACGTGTTTGTATATAATTGACATCACTCTTTACACGTGTTAGACACAAAAGTTGCAGGTATTCGACATGTAGGAGCATTCATTGGACATGTTTAGAACGGTAAGCATCGTATCTGCTATCATTGCTCTCTTTTTCACCACAGTAAGCTTTCACCCCGTCCATTTAGGCACAAGTGACTATGGCCTCTTGGATTAGTTATTTCTAACTCAATTTTTTGAAAAGTAACTTTTAAATATGATATCCAATTCCAAAAGTTACTGATGCTGTGATTTGAAGTAAACAACATTGAAATACTAAAAACTGAAAACATGTAGGAAGGAAACAATTCTATACCAGAACTGATCCACTTCCTAATGAGAGAAATAATAAGCAGGCAGCACTATTCAGGCTCCACTCTTTCTTGAATCTATGTTAGAAATGGAGCTCCAGTAGTGCTACTTGGAAAGACGATGAAAACGGATAGGGGTAGGGGACTAGCTAGTATATATAGATGTAGATACTAGATATAGATATAAGTATATATGGCTAGCCCTTCTTTGTTTTCTTGGTGGTGATGTTCTTATCATCGATGACATCTAGCAAAACAGTGCTTTTGCACTTGGGGCATCTGGGGTCTTCTTCTGCAAGCATGACATACATGAGACACCGAGGGCACCCCACAAGCATCATGGATGTGGCCTCCGGGCTGGTGGAGTACCGCTGGGACTCGTCCTGGTTCACTTCCGATGACACACAAGAACTCGGCGGCGATGTAGGCGTCACCGTCGACGATCGACTTGGGGACTCGGCATGTGGGTTTCTTCTTGGTGGTGGTGACAAATTCAACTTGAGATCAAGCGTTGGTACGTTTCTCCTGCTCATGATTCTCCTTTTCCTTCCAAGAATTCCTTCGATATTTTCTTGAAATACTGCATAACGAAAAACAACTTATAAAGGCTATAAATTTGATTGAATTCAAGTATATAAGTTTATATATATATATACATACCTTAAAAGGGTGGAAGAGAGCGGTGGCACGCGGCAGCTATGCGGCGGTGATGGCCATCCTATTGAGCAGTAGCATCACCAGTAACATGGATATGTAAAATGGTATGTGGTGGTTGGTTTTGAAAGTCTAAGGCCATTATATATAATAGGATAGAGATGGGGTTTAACTAAATTATGGTGAGAGGTAGAAGAAGTAAAGAGAGATACATAGAGAGAGAGAGAGTAGTGTGTTTAGATATAGAGAGAGAAATTGAATTGAAGAAGGAATGGTAGAGGAAGAGAAACAGTGTAAATTAAGGGACAGCAAAAGAAGTAATTGTTTGAAATTTGCAGAAAAGGGAAAGTTTTGTGGTAAGTATTGAATACTTACCACAAAACTTTCCCTTTTCTGCAAGAATGCAGTCATTTATGATTTTTTGGTTAAGGGTCGGTGTATGTATGTTTGTGCTTTTAAAGCTCAAATAAATTTCTAACAAAATCCAACTACACAAGTATTAATTCTGAATAGATATCTTAAATTCTTGTATTTGTGAGATGGGGATCTACTTTAAAAATATTATTATTGTTTTCTATTTCAATCTTGAAAGAGAAAAATCTTTTAAACGATACCTTACTAACAATATAAACGTGTTTATTTTGAGTTGTAATTCATCGAGTTAGCCGTGGTTGAGTTTGACGGTCTATGCTAGATTTGTTTAGGATTGAAAATACACTTATCATCGATGATGATTATTAATTAGGTGCTAATGATCTTTCGATTAATTGTTCAATGAAGTTGCGATGTATTTTAATGTGTTGAATAATGATATAGGTGATCGACGGCCACTTAAACGAATTTGGACAGATCGCGACAATATGGTTTTATTTGTATACAATATTTCGGCATCGACTAGAGCGTAAAAAATAATTCATCCAATGGACATTAAAAAATTATTAGATATTGTAAATTGTTATTGTGATAAACACTTATTAATAATACTCTGTTGGATGAATTTATGAAAATATTTAGAATAATGCTACTTGCAGTCGTTCACTGCAGCAGTCGCCTTATGTGGCACACACATGTCAAGTGTGTATTTGATGCATTAAATATGGTCAAAAAATATCACATTAATGTATCAAATAATTACATGTCATGTGTGTGCCACATAGGACGACTGCTGCAGTGAGCGACTGCAAGTAGCATTACTCAAATATTTATCACCGCCAAGTAGAATTAGTTTTCAATCGGCCCAAGGCAATTTAATATATCATTTATTGTAATTTAATATGTTAGTTGAATTTCAAAAATGATTAATAAGTCTGTTTTGAGTAGGAAGTTGCAATTTAAGGGTAGCAGGGTTATATATGTCTTTTTACATTTAATTTTGAGAAATTAAAATGAGTTTTCGAGCTCTAAAAGTTTTTTTTTTTTTTAATTCGTTTGGCTATTTTTATAAAAATGCGTCTTTTACTTTTAAAATTTTTAGAGGAGTCTGATTAAATGTGATTTTAGAAATTAATTTTCTTGACAAACAGCCTTTAATAGATCATTCCATTAAATGTTTATTTACAATTCAAAATTTTCACTTTTCAATTTTCGTGTAATGTTTAATTGTCGGAAAATCTGTACTTGAAACAGCTGTTATATTTATGTCATTCATTATTACATAAAAAAAACTATTAAATAGAAAATAAATTTGCCCCTATTCGTTTACTATTAAAGTAGGAAAATAAGTTTTGAAATAATAAATTTTTGAAAAATATGTAGTTAAAAAATAGAAATAAAGATTTAAATTTACGTGCAAAATGTTTTATTATAAAAATATGGATGAAAATGAGTTTAAAAAAAATGAAATAAGCATGGTTTAAGTTATTATTTGTAGAAATTGGCAAAGAATTATGCTCTTTGTACACTTCTTGTGTACATGGAGTTTGACACTCCTTTGCAAATTCAAAAATGAAGTGGCGAAAAAGTGTGTAGTATTTTCAAACTGGTCAATCATGCTGTAATATGTGGCATAATGTCAATTTTAATGTCAAAAATAATGTACTTGTAGCATGATTGATTTGCAAAATGAACGTCGCAACTTGCAAGGAACGGAAAGGAGGGATGCAAAAGGACTCATAACTCATTAGCTCAATCTATTGTTGTATAGTATATCTTTAACACGTCAAATGGTTTTTATTTTATTTTTTAGTCAAAGACTTGACGTATACCATTTGCATAACAACGAAACTTTGAATATAAAAGTTTAAATTACCTCAATCCTTTTCTATAGACTTTCAACAGCGAAAATAGGGTTAATTACTCGATTGATCACTGCACTTTACGTAAGGTTTCCAGGATGTCACTAAATTTCAAAAGTTTTTCAATTAGTCACTGAACTTTACAAATGTAATCTTACCCATCACCGATAATTTTACAAGTTTCTCAATTAGTCACTGAACTTTACAAAATATAATTACATCTATTACTCAGTGACTAGCAAGGAAATTTTTGTAAAGTTTAGTGATTAAAGGAAAATTTTTTGAAGTTTGATGACCCCCTAGAAACCTTACGCAAAGTTTAATGATCAATCAGGTAATTAACCAATCTTTATTTTTTTAGTCTTTTTATTTTTTCTACACTCCTACGCCCACAATTTTACTCTCTAGTATTGCCAAACTTAGAAAAAAAAATAGCATTTTATTCCGGGAATAACCAACAAAGTAATTTGTTGACCTCTCCAAGATTAAGGAGGCAATAGAGGACAACTTTATGGACTGCTTCAAATTCGATCATCTTTGTATCTAAACATATCTGAATAAAAACTAAAAATGTATTAGATTCTTAGTTGAAATTTTGTATGAATTTCAAAATTGAATAGTGAATACTATGAAGTAATTAATGTTGAAGGGGGTTCTCTTCCGAAATAGTTGACTGCATGAACCACTGTTGCCTCTTTGATCTTAGAGAGTTCAGCAAACAATCTTGCTGATTACCCTCGAGATAAAAACTATTTTTTTTCTAAGTTTGATGGTGTTAGAGAGAATAAAATTGTAAGGGAGTACAAAAATAAAGAAAAAGACAAAAAAAAGTAAAATAAAGATTGATAAATCACATGATTAGTCATTAAACTTTGCGTGTGGTTTTCAGGAGGCAACTGAATTTCAAAAGTTTTTCCATTAGTCACTAACTTTTGCAAATGTAATCATATCAATCACTGAGAATTTCAAAAGTTTCCTTGTTAGTCACTAAACTTTACAAAATCTAATCACATTCATCACTTAGTGAGAGGAAACTTTTATAAAGTTTAGTGATTAATGGAAAAACTTTTGAAGTTCATTGATCCTCTGAAAACCTTATGCAAAGTTCAATGACCAACCAAGTAATTAACCCGTGAAAATACAATAAATTATACTCTACATTTTCTATCCGAACTGCCTCACTACACGTCGTCCTTTCTCTCCAAAAAAATCTTTCAACTAAGTTAAAGGGTGTAAGTATCTAATCGTTACAATCCAAAATATAACATATATAAATTCTCAATATGTTTGACATCCTTAAAATTTAAAATAAAAAAAAAAAAAAAATTTGTTTTGAATAATATTTTTGGAGATTGTGTAATTAAAAAATAAGAAAAATCTTGAATTTACGTATAAAATAATTTATTATGTGAATGAATGATTGAATGAGTATGAGAAATAAAAACACTTAAAAATTTAGCGTGTTTAACTGTTGAAATCCCATGATTTGTAGAAAAGTCTTGGTACGTTTTTGCTTGAAGTCAAAGAAAGAAAATAAATAAAATATTGTTTTCTCACTTAGGAAGAAAAAGTATGAAGATTTGAATGCTTAAATTACGGGCCATTCTAAAAATAGAAATAGGGGCCTTCTCCGGATTAATTTAAGCCGGAGAAAGTCAATGTTATACACTAGATTTTGTTAGAATAATCGTCACGATTTGAAACTAATTATTGAATTATTTCATTGACTTTGAACGCCTTTAAAAGTCATCAGTGTTAGGTCTAATTCTCGACGGCCCGCCTTTGAAATGATTTTTGAAAAGTTAAAATATTATGAAAGTACTTCTTTGTTAGAAGTGATTTTAAAGAAAGTTGGTTTAATGTGATTTTTTTCTAAAAGTACTTTCAAAATAAAAAGTTTTTTTTTTTAAAATTGATTTTTAAACAAAATAAGGTAACTTCCTTCAAAATATCTTCTATAAAAAGCAAAAACAAAAGTAAAAGTTATGTTAAACATGACCTTAAAAACATGTGTTTGTTGACTTGGATTTGCTTGAATTTTATTTAGGGCCTGTTTGATTGTAAGAGTGGAATTTGGGTGGAAAGAAAATGAATTATAGAGAATTGAATTGCATAGAATTATTTTCCTGAGAATTGTCAATTAATTGTGTTTGATTGGTATAATTTTTCCACCTGAAAAATGTTGAAATTTTGGATTTTTTGGTGTTCGTTTGACTTTATTTTCCATGAAAATTGTCAATTAAAGAGAATTTTTTTTTAGAAATAGATAAAACATTTGTTTACATTGCCCAAAAAAAAATTCAATCTTTTAGTGTTCGTTTGACTTTGTTTTTCAAGGAAATTGTCAATTAAAGGGAAAAAAAAATTTATAATTGTCCATAAAATTTGTTTTCATTGCCAAAAAAAAAAGGTTGGAAACCATTTTCCCACCAAAGTGGTGGGAAAAATCAATTCAACAAAAACATGGAAAAATGGGACACGTGGCAGGTGGGGGGAGAAAATATTTTCTATGAAAAATTTTGGCTACCAAACATGGTAAAAGTGGGAATAGAATTTCAATTCCATTTTCCATGGAAAAAATGGTCTATCAAACATGCCATTAAAATGATTTTTTGTTTCCTAATTAGCAGATTCCTTTTAGGGTTAATTTGATAAAATTTCTATTTTTTTGCTTCTACATCTTTGAAAAGAGCTTTCTTAAAAAGTTAATTTAAGTTAGGTTCTTCTAAAAACTCTTTTAACTAAACAAAACGTTTTCCAAAAATTACTGAAATATGTTTAGCTCCCGTTTGTCTACCATTTTTTACAAACATTGTTTTCTACAGTAAATAATATCAACCACATATTTACTCCATAGAATATTCCACACACAGACCAATAAAGTTACTTTAAATTTTAATCACACATTATTCAAAAAATAATATTTCTTACTCTATTTTTCTACCAATAATGGTAGATAAACAGGCTCTTAAAAGCAACTTATTAGAGCATCTCCAACAGACTCTTTAAACATGAGGTACTCTCTATTTTAAAGAGTCAACATGTAAAATCATGCTCCAATAGACTCTTTAAATTAAGATTTTAATTTAGAGAGTGGGTTTGGCTCTCCAAAAT